GTGTATGTATGTAGTTTTCAAATCACGTAATGTAATTGCTTGATGTTTGAGTCGTTGACTAATCTGAGCATACTCTTAACCAATTTGAGTGACTGAATTCAGAGGTTGTTAGTTCAGTTCTGTTCAATTCACCTTCTTGAGACTCATGGAAGGATCCGTCGGTATTGTTGTGATGAGCGAGATGGTTGGAAATAACAATGGAAAATAGTTGTATGCAATGGTCAGTGATACAATTCAATAAATGCTCGAATAATTTCTGAAGAACGTTGCATACCAGTGATGATCATCAACGGAAGTTCGATGTAAATTTCGGCGAATTTCGATCGGAATCCGTGGAATCGGATTCTCACTGGAGAACTTGTAAAATTGGTCGAAGTATCACATTTCCGAGTCTCAAAACGTGAATTCGGTCAAATCTCGATCGAGCAATTTCGAAGTACGGTTAGAATACTGAATTTCGGCATATTGAAAAGCCGATTCGGTAGGAATCTAAACGAACTGAAATTTCGTTCGGATGTCATCACTACTGCGTAAAAAAATGTTCGTAGCACAATATTTTAATCTTAAGCTGACTTGAAAATGAGAAGGAAGCACTCAGTTATGGTTTAATAAATTATCAAAGAAATTTCTCTTATCGCTGGACGACTTGAGTATCTGATTACTACAGTTGAAATTTGGAGCTTACAATCTTTATGTTAGAAATTGCAGCAAGTTTGTTGTTCATATGACCGGATGAATTATTTAAGCTTTTTTCCAACATTTCAACGAAACAGTCCGCGAGATCGAATAGCACAGAAAAACGCTCTCGCTTGGATAAAACAGTTTATGTTTGTTCGATGCGAAGAAATTCTGCGGTGGTCTTAATTTTTTTTGCATCATTAGAATATATTTGCATTAATTTAATCATTGGTGTGTTGTGCAAAATAATTATCGACTCCACAAGTCTTCGAATCTTTTATTGCTCAATAATTAAAATCTTCAAATATTTCACAAATCGATTCCATTTCCGATCCAATAGTAATTGTCTGAAAATATCGAAAATGAATCATTAAGTACATTCAATCGTCACCGCTATTTGACTGGTACAAGATTGAAAATGGAGAGTTTAGGACACAAATAGTCATCGTACTAAACTACTTGCAAAGATCCGTAACAGAACACGAATACCAAAGTATTGCTCATTTGCATCTTCGCATTAATTTGTCATTAATTGCAAGCCATATTACTCGCAACAACATAATTGGATTGATATCACAAGATTGTATACCTCCACGGTCGATCGATCCTCTAACCAACAACGATAAAATCAGGAAGATCAAAACCCGCACCCGCACCCCCACCCCCACCCCCTGCAATATATCAGTATAAGTCTAAATAAAATCAATCTTGCAGGTGTGCATTATTTCACTTGTAAGCTGACCATTCGAATTCTTTTTCTCTGAACTTCTAAACTGTTCAGCCGGGAGGCGTGAATTATTAAAAGGAAATAAGTAAATGCATTTCAAATGCCCCTGTTCAAGATTATCAGTGAAAGTAAACGTCAGCGAATGCTTGCAAAGTTTTTAATGTAGCGACGACATTATTTGTTTCCCATCAAAAATTTCAGCTGATAAATAATAAATTAGATCCAAAGCGGCAGTGCTGCTGCAATACAACAGATCAACAAGAACAAATGTACGCCGTGGCAATGGGAAGTTATCTGCTGAGTTGTCAATAAAGCGCTGATGAATGTCAGTGATGGCGCTGTAACAACTTTTTCGATGACTATTATTTTCTCACAAAAAGCGTACTGTAACTCTGTAATTCACCGACCTCCTTATCACCCTACGTCTCCGCATGAAGTTTCGCCATCCGCATCTAGAAGCTTTCTTTCTACGCCTGATCTGGTCCACTGAAAGTTTGAACTTATTCGTGCCATTCCCTTCGATAAGCTACTTGTCAAAGCGTACTCGTCGCAGTGGCACTTACCCACGGAGAATCAGCGCAAGAGCACATCTGCCATTTAATGCGTTGACATCATGGACTTGGTGTGCTTATAAATCATAGTTGCACGTGTGTTTATTGTTAGCCAAAATTTGAACTCGATCGACTGACGGCTTTTGCTGATGCTGAATTTTGGTCGTGGCCTCCCCAGCTATCATCTGAGAGCGCAACAAACATCTGCGATCCGATTTCTCTGATCGAGAGACAATAAATCGCTTTCAAGATTCAAGATTCACCATCGGAGCAAAACAACTACATAACACACTTCTATCCCTACATTTATCCATGTCCGCAATCAATTTCAATTACCGATGCAGCATTCAAACACAGAAGTCGGACCGCTGTACTTGAGATATTTTTCCGCGCGAAATGCCACTTCAAAAAGCCTGGTCAAGCCTTAGAAGGAATATGTAAAATGACCCGATTGAGACAATAAGTCCAAACTTCCTCTGAACGTGCAAAAAATAAACATGAATCAGCCAAGCGCATAAGGCAGCTGGTCAAATTCGAAGAAAGTGCGGATAATTGACCTGTGAGTCACAATCATCTGCGAACTGCAACAGTGGAGTTCGCGAAGTGCAGAAAGCATTTTTCTGATGATTTCAGGTACCGTTCTGTACCTCATGAAACCTATGCGGTGCTACCATACTGTTCGCTGACTTTAAAAACTTTCGTGCACCTTATCGCATTGTACTTCATTTTGATACAATTTTACAATGGATCCCAGCACAGTAAAGCATAAAAGGTAGGAACAATTTTAGTGGAGTGGCGTCACTGATGAATTATCAAAATGAATTCAAGATGCCTGAAGTGGTCCAAGAGTACAGTGAACCCGACTGGCCAATATATCCATCGTGCTCCCTTGGAGACGTCCGAGTGATGAATCCACAGCTTGGCATAACAGAACTAGTTGAACATTTCTAGTTACCTCTTCCAATTACCCTGTTTG